CGACCGTACAGAAAGCATCAGCGGTCTTTCAACATCAGTCTCCTGTTAAGGCGTTCCAGGATTGTGTAAATTTAATTGATCGTCGGGTCAGTCTCCTTTTTCTCCTCTTTTTTTAATGTTTTGATTTTAAATTACTTTGATAATCTGTATTTTGTGCTCGGCCGTATATTACAGTGGTTTAAAGGACGAAAGTAGACATGCGTGCATATAGTGGACTTGTTAACTTAGAAAAAAACGGAACTAGACAAACCCCCAATTTACTATCACAAGCTTTTTCGTGTAGTCATTCCAAGCGCCAAGTTACCGAGACTGTCTTTGTTATTGATTATTTCTCTTTTCTTCTGCCCTTTAGGATTCTGTTGTTTTTTCAAGCCGGGGCACACCGATAAAGAATCCCTTCGGCGTAATCTCAGCAAATCGTTTAAATGAACTCGCTTCAGAGGAAGTTCGGCATATTCGGGCGTTCATGTCCGCGCTGAGCTCAAAGCTGCCCTCTATACCCAATTAACAACGCATTGTAACTACCTTTTCTATGTTCCAGCAAATTTCTTTTTGTATCGCAAATTATTTTTTTTGAAGAAATGTGTGGGCTGTTCTCTGTAAAATGCGTCTTACTTTCATTTTTTTGGCTTCAAAAAGCGGTTGAAAAACAGTTGTGGAGCAATGTTTCCTAGACGTCAAAAGCACCACTTATATACTGGTTGCAAAGTGACCGGGTCCTTCTGACTTCATAAAGTTTCATGTTGGTTGGATTGTATCAAAAGCATTTAGTTAAACAGGTCGGGCGGAGCGGCGATGTCGTCACCTCCGCGACTGAAAATTACAGATCGGTGTGTTTTAAATGGAATATGCCGACGCTCATTCTGAGAAGGACTTGCTTTGGTCATTTCTTGAGAGATCGCTGTGTGTCCTTCAGACGGATTGAGCAGAAGTTGATGAGCCAGCTGTGATGGAAACTGCGAAGGATTCCCTGGGCAGCAGATTGCTGCTTACGGAGGAAAGTTATACTGCAGGTGAAGTAACTCTTGATACATGTGCAAACTAACAGCGAATGTAGATGGGGCCCAAGGTCTGGATTTATACAAACGACCAGTCCCCGACACGAATGCACGGGGTTGTTTAGTTGTAAGATTGTTTTTATGGGGCGATCAGCTAAAGGAACAGAAAGAGAGAAGAATATTGCTATACTAGCGCGGAAGCCCGGCTTCGCCTTGGCTTCCTTACTTTTGTTGTCCTTTTATGA